GCGCGCAACACTCTGCTGAGAGCACAGGGAGGACCAAGCAGTCAGCAGCCCCCGGGGCACTGTGTTTGTCAGCTCAGCGGGTGAAGCAGATGAAAAAGCCAGAGTGGCAGCCACCATCTCCTCGGACCCTCGCGATAACCCACGGATGATGCTCCGAGCTTACTGCGCACTGGCTAAGCCGGGATTGGGCACGTGGCGATAAAAAAGACACCACGGTTCTTGCCCTTACGGAGTTTATGGTCACTTAACAGACAAGAAAGCTGAAACTGACGAAGGAGTTGTGCCACAGCGAGGAGCCGAGCCCTCGGAGCAGAGCGACAATGTCAGAGCTGCAGGGCGCCTCTCGGCTCCGCGTCCCCTGACCATGAGTGCCCTCCGCCCCTCGGCGTACGGACCAACCGCGTCACACTGGCCAGGGCCCAACCTCCTCATTTTTTGTTTGTTTTTGTTAATCCTCACCTGAGGATATTTATCCATTGATTTTTATTTATTTTTTTAAAACTTTTTTAAAAATCCTCACCTGAGGATATATATATATATTTTTTCTTTTGTGAGGATATTTTTCCATTTATTTTTTAGAGAGAATGGAAGGAAGAGAGAGAGAGAGAGAAACATCGATGTGAGAGAGACACATCGATTGGTTGCCTTCGCACATGCCCCGACCAAGGCCGGGGAGTGAGCCTGCAACTGAGGTGCATGCCCTTGACCGGCATCGAACGGGGACCCTTCAGTCCGCAGGCCGACACTCTATCCACTGAGCCAAACCGGCTAGGGCCCACCTCCTCATTTTGAATCGGTGAGAAAACTGAGGCCCAGAGAGGTGAAGTGACTGCCAAGGGTCACACAGCAGGCACACAGCAGAGCCAGGGCCCAGATGCAGGGACAGCGCTGGCGGCTGTCACTGGTGGCGGTGGGGGAGGGTCAGCACCTCCCCCCAAGTCCACACCCAGGGCTGCTGCGCCATGTCACACGGCACACAGGCCTTTGGCTGAGTGTGAGCGCAGCGGGGCCGTGTGTCCCAGAGCTTCCGCGCCCACCGCTCCTGCTCTGTCCCACCCCCTGGCACTTCCGGGCTGACCTGGCATTTTGCAGATCCCTCCCCACCCCAAGCAGTGTAGCAGCATAGCTCTGTCGTGTGTGTGTGTGTGTGTGTGTGTGTGTGTGTGTGTGTGTGAGAGAGGAGAGAGAGAGAGAGAGAGAGAGAGAGAGAGGCGGACTCCTCCTGTCTACCCTCTGCCACTCCCCCCACCTCCCTGCTACCCACCAAAGAGACAGTGCCCAGGGCCAGCCCCATTCTTACATTCGAGTCCAGCACAAAAGGGGATGAGTCCAGCAAGATGAGCTTATCCACCATCTCGGGGAACATACAGGAGAACTAGGGTGCGACACAAAAGGGGAGAATGAAGAGGAGAGGCGCTTGAAGGGAAAGGGACTCAAACTTTTCCCTGGTGTTTCCTGAAACACCTCTCAGGCTGGGGCCAGGGTGCTGACCGAGAGGCCGGAACAAGACCCTCTATCCCTCAGGGCACCTTCCTCTCCCCTGCCCACCCCGTCCGCACCCAGCACCCAGCACCCAACACCCAGCTCCGAAGCCCAGGGGTGGCTGCGTTCGGGGCTCTGTCTGCCACAGTGATTACTGCTGGGAGCAACCAAGCCACTGGCACAGCTAATGAAACGCTGACCCGAAACTCGTGGCCCCAAGAGGCGCTTCCTGTGCCAGGTAACTTTCTCCTCCCTGCTCTCCCCCCCCCCCCACCACCACTTGGAGGAGCACCCACGGTGGCCAGAGGTGATCACTGCAAAGCCTTCCACTCACCATTCCACCCACAGTGCCACCTAGGAGACAAAACAGCAGTGGCTGAAGCTCCCCAGCCATCAAAACCCTACCAGGCTTCCTCCCAGCTCCTCTCCCACCAGTGATGGGGCTCCTGCCAAACTTGGGGCTCCCTCCCTGGGGCCAGATGGCCCCTTCATCAGACCTGACCACTCAGGGGGCCGTATTTCCCTCATCAAATTGGGAGACAACTGCCTGGCCGGCGTGGCTCAGTGGTTGGGTGTTGACCTATGAACCAGGAGGTCACATGCCCGGTTCGTGGGCTTGATCCCCAGTGTGGGGCATGCAGGAGGCAGCCGGTCAATGCTTCTCTCTCATCATTGACATTTCTATCTCTCCCTCTTCCTTCCTTTCTGAACTCAATAAAAATATATTTTTTTAAAAATTGGGAGACAACTACCTACTGGGCCATAGGTGCCTCAAGGGAGTTACCTGAGCCCAAAAGCCTCAGTGTCCAAAGGTCAATGTCGAATGAACCCCTTCATTTCCCTTGAAGTTCCCAGAAGTGCAGGGGAAAGGGACCTCAGTACCAACCCCCCTCCCTCGCAGCCCCCCCCCCTCCCGCTGGAGCCCCGCCGGCCCAGGCCGCGTGTACTCACCAAAACTGTGGCCCATGATGGAGAAGCGATCCCACTTCAAGGCTGAAAGCACAGAGCCAGGTCTGGGGTCCAGCCTTCCCCCCCTCTGTCCCAGCATCTGGGGCGCCCCACTCAGGGGCAGACCCTGCAGGAGGGAGTGGGCCCTCGGGCCGGCCTCCTCCAGCTTCCCTGTCACCCAGGGATTCGGGGCAGAGCTGGGGCCTGACGCAGGTCACCCCCAGGCCATCCTTGCTTCCTGGCTACCATACTCACTCCCACCGTGAGAGGGGGTGCCCCGCTCCCCAACACACTCTGCCTCTTACTCACCTGCTGAGACTCTCCGGATCTCACCCACGAAGTTTTGATAGTAATAGGGAAGGCCTGGGCTGTAATGGGACGAGAGCCCGTGGCCCCCGAAATCCATGGCCACGTAGTAAAAGTCTGAGGTGGAGGGAAGAGGGAGGCGAGATGTCGGACTGGCCTCTCCCCTCTCACTCCCCCGCAGCCCTGCCCCTCGCCCTGGCCTTCCTCCCACCCAGCCCACCTCTTGGGAGGAGAGGGATGAGTCTGTCGAAGGAGTTGGCATTGTCCAGCCAGCCGTGCAGGCAGAGAACGGGGGAGGCCTTCTGGGAGCCCCAGGCTTTGGCGGCGATGTGGCCCCAGGGCACAGCCATCTTCAGCTCCGAGAACAGACCTGAAAGCCATCGGCTCAGTCCTGGAGCCGCACTTCAGAGCCCTTGGTCTGGGCCCAGCCCCTCACCCCCACTGGAGGGCATCAGGGACACCCAGGATTCCTGTGCTGCCCCCGCGGTGACCGGGAGAGACCCGGAGGTGGGCCTGGGGATCCCCAGGGGAGGGGAAGAGAAACTGGGTCCACTGAGTGAGGAAAACCTTGGAAGGGCTTCACCACAGAACTTTC